ACTGGAGAAAATACTTCATTATAATCAACTCCCTCCTTTTGAGCGTAGCCTTTAGCCACCAATCTTTCTTTGTAGCGGATGTTATTCTTGTCAGGAAATCCATCTTTCTTTGCATATACCCACTTGCACCCAATTACCTTCTTTCCCTTCGGAAGACTAGCTAGTTTCCACGTCTGATTCTTTTGAAGGGATTGCATTTCTTCATTCATGGCGATCCTCCACTTTTTATGTTCTGAACTTTGAACTGCTTCATTAAAAGTGGCAGGAACGTCATCAATTGCAATTAGTGATGCAAAAGAGACCATATCAGCATAACGAGCATGTTGTCTAATGGTCCTCTTTCCCTTTCTGAGTGCAATTGATTCATGTTGCTGTGGAGGTTATTGGGTCTGAACCTCTTCTTCATCTGACTCTTCTTCTACCATAAGAGAGTCAACATCAGTTTCTTTACTGGTTGGGACAATCTTGCTTCCTTCAAACTCCACCTGTTTGGGAGTTCCATCTGTCTGGTCCAATTTTTCTGAAGTCACATTTCTCAACATGTTAGATTCATCAAAGGTAACATCCCTGCTGAAGATTATTTTCTTTGTTTCTGGACACCAAAGACGATAGCCTTTTACACCAGAGGTGATCCCCATAAAGATCGCCTTCTTTGCTCTTGGATCCAGCTTTGACTCCTTAACATGGTAGTATGCAGTGGAACCAAACACATGTAAGGAATCATAATCTGTAGCAGGTACTCCAAATCATTTCTCTAATGGTGTTTTACCACCAATAGTAGTCGATGGTAAGCGGTTGACAAGGTGACAAGCATAAACCAAAGCCTCAGCCCAAAATTCTTTGCCTAACTTAGCATTAGACAACATACACCGAACCTTATCCACTAATGTTCGATTCATACGCTCTGCCACCCCATTCTATTGTGGTGTACCTCTGACAGTGAAGTGCCTGACAATACCTTCCTCTTCACAGACTTTCAGAAATGGATCATTTTTGTATTCTCCACCATTGTCTGTATGGAGACGTTTGATTTTTCTGCCTGTTTGAGTCTCCATCATCTTTTTCCATTTAAGGAAAAATCCTAGCACCTCATCCTTTGTCTTCATTGGATACACCCAAACTCTCCGGGAAAAATCATCAACAAATGTGACATAATAGTGTGTTCCTCCCAATGAAGTTGTCTTGGAAGGCCCCCATACATCTGAATGAACATAATCCAAAATACCTTTAGTATCATGGATTGCTATTCTAAATTTCACCCTCGTCTTCTTCCCTTTGATGCAATGCTCACAAAAAGCTAATTTGCAAGTCCGAGCACCCTTCAATAATCCTTGATCTATGAGTAATTTCAAGGATTTTTCACCAACATGCCCCAAGCGCATATGCCATAACCTGGTTGCTTCTGACTCATGTTCATCAGTAGAAGCTGCCACTGCTGCTGTCCCAACAATTGTACTACCCAGAAAGTAATACACATTGTTTCTTTTTCGGATTCCCTTCATTATCACCAGTGCACCAGAGATAATCCTCATAATCCCATCTTTTGCCCTCACTTGTAAACATTTTGACTCTAAGGTTCCCACAGAGATGAGATTTCTCATTAAATCTGGTACATAATGGACACATGTTAAGGTTCTGATTGATCCATCCTGATTCCTCAAGCGAATTGAACCAATCCCAAGTGTGTCAAGAGGGGAATTATTTGATGTGTAGACAATTCCACCTTTTAGTTCTTTAAAATCAAAGAACCATTCTCTATTGGGGGTCATATGGTGGCTACAAGCTGAATCTAACAGCCATGAACTGGAACAGCTGGTTGATGGCGTAGCAGCGAATGCGAAATCTGAATCTGCATCATCATACTCGACCACATTTGATTCTGAGACAGCCTTCCCCCTTTCAGGTTTTCCTTTATTCTTTAGCCTGGGACATTCTTTCTTTTAGTGCCCTTTTTCTCGACAAAAGGCACATTCATCTTTGCTCAATCTGGACTTTGACTTTGATCTCCCTCTGCTTCCTTTATTCTGACTCTTCGAACGGCCTCTAACAACAAGAGCTTCTGCTTCGACACTTGTGTTTTCTTGTTTGTCTTTCTTTCTCAATTCATAACTATACAAGGCAGCAGTTACTTCACTGAGAGACACATCAACCTTCCCATGAAGTATAGTAGTTTCAAGATACTCAAACTCATCAGGAAGTGATCCCATCAACATCAGAGCCAGATCTTCGTCTTCAAAAGTCACGTCCATATTCATCAGATCAGTCACCAGCTGATTAAAGCTAGTAATGTGATCATTCATAGTAGTACCTGGTACATAGTTGAAGCGGAACAATCTCTTTTTCATGTAGAGTTTGTTCTGACCGCTTTTCTTCAAAAAATTCTCCTCCAGTGCCTTCCACAATTTACTTGCAGAAGTTTCCTTAGAAAATGCATACTTCTGCTCTCTAGAAAGACACGATAGAATAGTACCACATGCCATTCTATTGATCATCTTCCATTCTTTCTCCTCAACATCATCTGGTTTCTCTCCTTCAATAGCAATGTCTAGACCCTGCTGAAATAGGACATCTAGAACCTCACTTTGCCACATGTCGAAATGATTGGTGCCATAAAAAATCTCCACTGCAAATCTAATATTTGTCACAACATTTCTTTCCAAAATTGAAGATGAAGAAGCGTCTGCCATTTCTGCTACAAATTCTATTTAATAGCTACCAATGCGGAATGTCAATTATCCCAAGGAAATTTTTTTTGATGTGGAAGATCAGCCTAAGCCACAACCACAGAGCATACTAAAATAAACTAAGAGCTCTGATATCAATTGTTGTGGAATTCGGGTTAATTTCCACCAATAATAACAAATTCACCTTTCAAACTATTATCTAGGTGACTAGTGTGAAAACGATTGTAATAAAAATTACACCAAGGTAGATTCCCAAGAAAGAGGAGGGATCACAATGGTCCCTCTTAAAACCCACTTTCCTTAGACAGAACTACCAAGACAAGTACTTTTAATAGGACAATAATTAACAACAACTATACCCGATAATAGCTATTAAATAGACATAAAGAAAACACCAAAATTTAACGAGGTTAGGCCAAAATTTTGCCTACCTCCTCGAACGCTACTAAAATAATATTTCACTAGTAGAGGAAATATTACAAAGAGAAAGAAAGAATACAAATAGCCTTTAATATAGAAGAATGCTTATATTTGTGGGATGATTAACTAAGGAGGAGGATGGCTTTATTTATAACAAAAGAATTTCCCCTCCTCCTTATACACAACCAATGTGGGACTTTGCCAAAAACCAACACTATCCCCCTATATGAGTATGGTTGAAGATAAAGGATTGTTATCTGACGTATGGGTTGAACTCGATTTGGTCAAGAAGTGGAAAGAGGATAGAGAGGAAATGAAAATTCGACGACCAAGCTAAATCCCGTAAAGGAGGGAGAAGCGTCTAACTTTGAAATGCGGGATGATGAATTTTTTACTTCAAAAGTCGATTGTGTGTTCTAGGAATTAGTGAGTTGAGAGATAGGATCCTTCAAGAAACCACAATCCATATATTTCGCATTCAAAGAGCAATAAGATGTACCAAGATTTGTGTCATTTGTATTGGTGGCGCGATATCGTTTGAAATGTATTCAAGTATATTGTGCCTTGCAAAACCATCTAGGGATCTCTCTGATGTGGCAAATCCCATGAAATTTTCTTGTAATGTTGCCGGTTGGAGCGAAAGGAAATGTCTCACATGCATGCATCAGTTATCAGCTGCAAATGCACAATGAATAAAGCTGTAACTTTGATGGAGTTGGTATGGTCACATTTCTTGTTGGTGTCACGGATACCAGTTCAGGTTTTAGACCGTATCAAAGATGACTAATCCGCTGTATTTTAATTTTATGGCTTTGGGCCTTCAGAATGCGAGGAAAAAAAATCTTTTAGGTGGGGTTTTCACAGTACCCTCTATATGAATGCCATGCTTATCCATATTCCATTGGTCATACTTTTTATATCATCAATGTCGTACTTTTTCAAGTCGGATTGGTCCGGTGTATGGATGCTATAATTATCCATATTCCATAGGTCATGGTCTCTACTCCCAACCAAACTAAACCCTTTTTTGCAAATTAATTGTTCCTTGTATTCATGGATGTACAGATGATATTATATTAGAGATGAATTTATACAATTTTAGGGAAAATAAATTATCAATAAAAAATAGAAAAAAATTTAAAACATATGAAAATTTTAAATTTTCATGAATAACAACTCTCTCTAATCATCCCTCGATTTATCCTCCTTACATTGTACCTTAATTAGTAGCAAACCTATTTTTCCATTTTATAGATGTTCCTTTAAAGTATGCAGTTAATTCTACAAGTAGTCATGTATGCCCGGGGATTAGGGACGGGTAAGGACCAGGTCGGGTCGAGTCGAGTTAGATTTTCGAACCACTCAATCCGATTCAAAATAAAAAAATTATACTTCCTCCACCCAACCTAAACCCAATCGAAAAAGATACATCTTTCACCCGACCCGAACCCAATCCATTTTTTGAGATAAAATTCGAACTCGTCCCGACCCAAAATAATATATTTACTAAAAATATTATTTTTATTCAATAAAATAGGAATTTAATTGAAAAGAAATAATAAATAGAGGGGTATTATTATAATTATCCCTAACTATATAATATAAAATTACAATTTTTCGGGTCTAGTATTTTTCACCCTAAATCTGAATTTGACCTGACCCGAATATAGCCTCTAAAAAACTTGACCCGAACCCAATTTGTTTTTAAAAAATCCGATTTGATTGAGTCAGATCGAAACTCATCGGATTTGAGTCTCATGCTCATCCCTACTTGTGATGAACAGAAGAGGCACCTAGGGCAATAGTCTCTATTAAAAAATTTAAATTATCATATATCTAAAAAAAATTCTTTATATTTTCTATTAATTTTTCCTAAAATTTTAAAAATTCGCTATACAAAGATAAAACTTTATTTGTTGATTGTAAAGAATGTAGAGTAAGGTTTACATTCTTATTGAGGAAAACATACGAATATGGATGTGCATTCTGGGGGAATGACAATTCAGACCTAACATATTACATTAATTATTATCACAGCAGTCCAATTTCAGTATTTTTTGGAGTACATGCAATTGGGAGTAGGGAGAAATTGGTGTCTCGTTTCTAAAAACAACAATCATCACCGCAACATACTTTGCCACATCGAAGCATGAACTGTTTCCCAACGAAAAAGCAGCAACGGCAGCCTGCAAATATCGTGAATATCATCATCTTCTTCTTCAAAGAGTCGAAACCACATAATAATGATAGTAATGTTATGTTGTAATTATGGACGGATGTAGGATCTTATGTTATGGAAGCGAGTTTGAATTTATAAAACTTCAACGAGACAAATAAAAACTACATAAAAAATTCAAAATATATCATAATTTTAAATTTTCAGAAGATAACGGTCTACACACCCCTCGGTCCATCACTGATTGCAATCACTATTAAAACTCTTTTCTGCATTATAATTAAGCAAAATCCGTATGTATACCTTGGGGATAAACGGCTTGTTGGAATGTTCCCTGGCGAGCACCGGCCGTTGCATTCGCGCACAAAGCAATTGATAAAACCAGTGAAAGCCACATGAGACAAGTCACAGTTGTATTCCCTCTGGCCATGGTCTCTTGTTTTCTATAGCTGGTTACGTACTGGTCAAGTACTTGTAACTCTTTCACCTCTACTTATACTAAAAGTTGGGTCACTTGGTAAACAAAGCATAGTCAGAAAGATAGGAATTTTTTTCATTTCACTGACTTATTTTATTTAGCCATATAAATTCACAGGCTTGTCTTGGCATGCAACTTGGCTTGCAATTTTTGACCAAGATTCAACTTATTCTTTAATAATGCTTTTCATCTATTCATTTATTTATATGAACATATAAACTGAGTTTATCTTGAACTTATTAAATTATTTCAGTGATAAAGATGAATAATATTTTTTTTAGAAATTTCAAATTAAAATACTTGTGTATATAAAATATACATATGTTATTAATAAAGTAAAAAAATTATCTAAATAAATAATATTTTATAATCATCTTAATTATTTAAAAAAAAAAAGCTTATCCTATTCAGATCATCATTGCACCAACGTAAGCGGAAGAAATGGTGGCAAACAATACCATTGAAATATCAAGGGATTGTTTTTATTAGGTCTACACTAGGACCAGTACTGTGACAAATTGCAGAAGAAAGCAATTTTTGTGGGGCTATATATGCATTGAATCTACCACTTTTGCGCCTAATGTTCCAAAGCATTATGTCTTGAAGCTTGGAAGTCAACAATTTCTGTGGGCTAGATTTTGAAATACTTGGTTCCAATCCATTTCGCTTCAAACACCTAAAGACCAGATATCTAAACGGAATGGATTAGGTCAAGGTTTCGTCAACTTAATCTAACTTAGAAAATATATATTCTTCGTTCGAATTTGATCTAACTTGAAAAATATATATATTTTATCTAACTTGATTCGAAAAGCATACTTTCTCTATCCCGACATGATCGAACCCAAAATTTTAGAGTATAAGCTTCATCCGACCCGACATAAAATAGAGATCTAATTAAAAATTAATAGAGAGAGAGGAGATATTAAAAAATTATCCATAAATTTATATAAAAAAATTACATTATTACCCCAGATCGAGTTGGATCGAAGATTTTACATTCTTCACCCATATCCGAGCTAACCTCACTCTATATAAAATCCGATTCTATCTTGACTCAAACCTAATTTTTTTTAAAACAATTCAGTCAAATCAAATCAGGTCAAAATATATGGATTTCATATTAAATTATTATTCCTACATATACCCTGTCATGAAAATATGACTTATGTCGACTTATTATAATCCTAACTACTAAATTTAATCTTAACTAGATAAACATAATTTTTTAAATAATCTAATCAAATTATAAGAGTATTAATAAATATTTTTTTATAAAAAAATGTATTTTAAAAACTTATGTAACATTTAATAAAATGCTAAAACAATTAACACCACAAGCATTTAACATATCAAATATACCTAAAATAAAAGCAAATTGGTAACTTTTATCCTTGTAGTAGACTCAATTTATCAATTTTACTCTTATCGTATTTTCGAATCAATTTAGCACTAGAAATTTCTCAATTGCATCATTCTATATCCTACCCCTTACCTAAAACCCTAAATTATAAATCATAACCTCTAAGTCATAAATCATAAACCTTAAACTGTAACTTAGGGTTTATAATTTAGAGTTTTAAGTTATGGGTAGAGTATAGAATGACGCAATTAAACAACTTTGAGGGCTAAATTAATACGAAAATATGATAAAAGCGAAAATGATAAATTAGATCTATTACATGGATAAATGTGACCCTTAAGCCTAAATAAATAATGTATACAAATTATATATAAATTTATAAAACTCTTAACATAAAATAAATAATAGAAATATCAATATAATATTAAAAAATAACATAAAGATAAAATGATTAAAAGGACTCAACATAAACATTAAAACACGTTAAACATATATAGAATAATTTATTGAAGTATACAATTTATAATAGGATTTATACTATGCAAACCTAATGTTAGCTTTCAAATCGATGGTTTAGAGTGCACATATCAATTTATCTTAATGATTAAATAAATTTTTGATGTTTTTAAAGGTTATAGATTCGAGCATCAACGACTGTAGTAGGGTGATTGAATGTTTATTATCGAATAGTTGAGAGTATTTAGAACAAATACTACTTTAACCGTCTTAGCTAATAAAAAAATTGAAGGCTTCGAACGAGTTCAAGGATTGCTTTTAATGGATTATATATATTTTTTCAATTAATTAAGAATAGGTTTTAATTTTAAATTAAATTTTGTTAAACAATAATTATTATCTGTATTAATTTTGTTAATTATTCATTGAAATACATATATTTATTGTTTCAGGGAGTAGTTAACAAGTGGACTAACCCTTTTAAATGCTTTAAAAAAAACTATTGTTTCTCTGATTGATCTTATACATCTCCTAGTGAACACATCTACCAAATTTCTTCAACACATCACTTAAAAATAAACAACACAAAAACTTTTTTATCCAAAGGAATTGAGTATAATGTGTAATTGATTTACGAGTGAACCTTAAGGACAAATCCTTTTAAGTGCATCATTTATACTTAAATTTGATAATTAGTAAAATAAAATTAATTTGTAAACATGTTTCACAATTGATTCGACATAATTTTATATTAAGCTATGTTCATGCGTGAAGTTTGGAGTGTGGATCAATGTAACGCCTTGAAAATTACCTTGCCGGAAACTGTGAGACTTTGAATTAGTTACCGCGATGAAATTTGAAAAGTTAATCATATTTCGTTGGAATTGGACGAGGGGATTATTAGGTGGTATGTGTTTAGAAAAAATTAGTCTTTTAATACATATATTATGGACGTAACTGATTAAACTCGAGATTTATAATAGAACATTCTCTTTTATCATTAAAATTCGTCGATATATTTTGTAGTCTAAATATTAAATAATGAGTTTTACATAAATTTATTTTTTATTATTAATATTTTAATAATTTAGAGAGATACTTTTATATTGATGAGACTAAAAGTTAAAAAATATCGAATTAATATTTTAATTAATTTACGTTTTTAGACTATATAAGTGGACCGATCCTCATATATATCAAAATAATTCAGTTCTCAAATTATTTATCAAAATAACACATTTAACATAAACTAAATTATTTTAATGGTTAAAGGAATGATTGTTATGTTGGTTATATCTCAAGTGTAAATTCCTTGGGAAGAGTATTTAAAGAATATTCATCACCTTTCTTTGTTGAATATAGTTAGATGACTCATCCTGGATAAGGATGGGCATGAGATCCAAATCCGACAGGTCCCAATCTGATCCGATCGGGTTTGATTTTAAAAAAATATCGAATTTGGATTGAGTCAGGTCGGATTTTTTAATGTGATGTTCGGGTCGGGGTCGTGTTTGAGTTTAGGGTAAAAAAACCAAACCCGACCCGAATATATATATATTTACCTTATATATTTAAGATTAATTACAATAATACCCCTCTATATATTATTTTTTTCAATTAAATTATTATTTTTATTGAATAAAAATATTTTTTTATTATTTCGGGTCGAGTCGGATTTTTATGTTATATATTGGATCGGTTTGGGTCAGTGAAAAATTGTTTTGATTGGGTCGGGTCGGATCTAGGGTGGAAGACTCCTTGTTCTCGGGTCAGATTGAGTATACCAAAAACCCGACCCAACCTGACCTATGCCCATCCCTAATCACGCACGCACGCCGCCAACATCTGACCAGTTAGGTTGGTCGCGATTGGTTAGATGACTCCTGGCACGTGTGTCGCCGGCTCAATTTGATTATGAAAGTAATCATAGTAATTCGTGTCTTCGCATTTTTATCTTTTTATAGAAAATATAAAAGAATTTCTTTGAAACGTGAAATGAGAATTTTTAAAACGTATTTATAGGCAAAATATTTTTTTAAATTGATCAAATGCGGGTTGTTGAACGTGGTTAGATGACTCCTTCACACTAGCGCTGTCGCTGTCCGGTCGGCTTGGCTCAACTAGACTCAACTCTGTTTGGGTTATTGAATGTGGTTAGATGACTCCCTTACACAGTCACCGCCGTCCGGTCGGCTCAACTCGGCTTCGTTCTGTAGGCTTGTAGATGGGTTATAGAAACCCCAAAGATTTCTGTAACAAGGGATTTTTTTTTGAACTCCCCCATATTGGAAACAACAAGAAATATGAAAAAAATAGAATCCATTTTGAAGGTATTTGGCCTTTTTCTCGGTAAATATTTCTTCGTTTATAAAAGAAAATAGAGTTAAGGTTTCACCTGAGTCGTTCGAACACTGGTGGAGTTCCTTCGGCTTCATCTCGTGTTCATTTGGGATTAATCGTTATGAGTTGTGAAGGTCGAAGCTTTTAATGTGTTTAAGGAGTTGGGTTTAGCATTTGATGTTTGGTTTAAGGAGATTTAGATGAGAAAGGAGGGACTCAATTTTACTCAGATTTTGGTTTGAGTTTAACCGACCACTATTGATGATGGTCGGAGATATAAGGATGCTGATTTACGGCGTTGGTGAGCCCTCGAGGTTATGGATTGAAGAGGAACAAAAGGGGTTAGAAGATTATTATGGGTTTTATATTTTTTTGGGGTTTCGTTTGGGTTTGTTCGGTCGCGGTGGAGGGCAATCGGACTGGTGAGCTTCGTCGGTCTACGACGGTTGGAGTGGAGGCTTGGGTCTGGGGTTCATTCGGCTGTGGTGACGATGAAGATAGGGGGACAGTAAACAAAAGGTAGTGACTATGTTAGTGTTTTAAGTTAGGTTTACCCAAATCAAGAAAAAGATGGTGTAAAAACCCTAAATGTTTAGGAAAATCACCCTTTAGTCCCCCATAGTTAGCCGTGTATTTAAAAGTTAGTCACTATCTTTGCATTTTTTAATTGTTTTGCGAATCTGGCATGCTATTTTTATTTTTATTTTAATTTGGTCACTATTTTTCTATTGTTTATATCACTGCAAATTTAAGGGACCAATGCTGTAATTTTCCTATTTGAATTACTATTTTTTTTTGTTTTTTCTTATAACATTCAATACAACCTCGTACGACCCGTGTTATATGGTCCATGTAAAATTTAATTAGGCACTAACTTCTAATTTCTAACCACTAATCGCTAACTTTTAATTCTTGTATTTAATCAATTTTATGACATTGTGATGACTCGCCTCGGGGTACGACTCACATTGTTCT